TCGCGTAGCATCGGGAATATCAAATTACAGTTTGCACGAGCAAAATTGCTCTCTCTCTCTCCCTCTCTCTCTTCACTCTCTCTTCCTCCCCACTTATACTATCTGAAGCTACGAAAAGAGCGAAAAATTTACGCAGACTGTTAGAAGACACATGAAGGGTTAAAGCCGCGGCTGTACGTGATAAACGAATGTCATCGTTAGCAACTTGTCCGCCTCATGTGGACCCCAAACGACTATTTATTATTTGTCCTTTCCCTTTCTTTTCCTTCCTCCATTCATAGACTTTATAACGAACTTATATATATTATTACTTATATATATTATTACGAGTGAAATTGCCTGAGTCGAAATTTTTTTCCCGCTCATCTATGAAAACGAAAAGAAGACTGTCGTCGTCATTTCAAGCACTAATTTTTCAAAGGCACCGATGAAAGAAACGTCATTATCATCATTGTTACCGTTGCCATCAAAGGAGCCCATTCGAGCTCGTGAAGATGGTTCGTTTATAAAATACCGGCCACGACAATTGTCAGAAATTTAAACGAATGCTTGAACGCAATGCGATAGAACACCATGCGACTTTCTAAGGGAACTTCTCGTTTCTTATGCAGTGCGTATTTTCGTCGATTTTAATGTATGTCGATTTGAGATATTCGGATTTATCATGATTCGTGTAGAAATATTGAATCTCAGTTATATTTTTCTAAAAATCACGTTTCTGGAGAGCTAGCTCGTGTCATGTTTTGGGTCTGACTAAATGCGTTATAATGTTTTATAATTTAACTCAGACCGTTGCATTTCTTTTTATATTTTGCCCTTAAAATGTGAAACTTGCTTTCCGAGATTTAACAAAGTCTTCATTTCGCTGGTCGCATTTGGGTCGTAATTTGAGAACATCATGTAACCAACTTGTACTTGCATTCAGAGAAATAGAAAACGAGAAAAAAAGAGGAAAAGAGATCTCAGAAAAATCACCTCGGAAAAACGTTTTCCGGAGTGACGTGGTTTTTTTTTACACTTTTAACGACGTTTTTAATCGTCTGGATTCACTTTTCTCTGCAAATAAAAGAAGAAAAATGTCTTCCTCCTCTGAGTTCCATCTGAATAGATTCCGACAATGTTGCGGCATATCGCATCAGTCGCGATCACTCGGAGGTGATGGGATCCTGAGCCTTCAGCGTCAACAATTTCTGTCTACGTTTCCACTTTTTAATTACAATTGCTCGGTCGCCGGTGTTCGCAACGTCCGCGTCGCGCAGTGGGGTATTTGACTGATTTAAGCAGCCAAAATTATTTTTGTGGATCTAAATATCTAAAAATCCGTTTTACAAATTCATTTTAAGTTGTAGGAAATACTTTTTTATAAAAAAAATATAGTTTTTACAATTTTTAACTATTTAATTATTCTCTTTAATTATAACATAAGTTTAAGTTTAAAATGTATATATAATAACATCAATTCGAATCATTATTTTGACATTCAGTGACTAAATAAAATAAATGTAAAGCAGAACACAATAAAAAAAATAAAATTTATTCTAAAATAAAATTTAAATAATTGAAATCAGAAATAAACATATGAGAGGTCAGAATTTCATATTTATTATTAATACTTTAATGAATTTATTTTATCACGGAAAACCGCGCAATTCCGCGACTAGCTTTACGAAATCGTGAATTAGAAATCTTTACCTTTTAATTAAAATAAAAAAAATTATCGAGAAACGCAGAAAAATACTATTAATATCATTGAGTTTATTAAAATTTGTCCAAGAAAATAATAAACAATTTTTTCAAAACGCTTTAACTTACAATTAATTAAAATAGTTAATCCTGATGAAAATAGTTAAAATGTATTCACACGTAAGCATTTTATCACATTTCATAATTTTATCACTATTCACTTGACTATATACCGAATAAAAAATATTCTTGAAAAGCTGCTACTTTGAACGCCGAGAAAAAATACTACCAAAACAAGGTTTCGACTGTTGAACTTGTCACTTGTTTACGCGTAACAATGGACATTAGGTAATAAATTATTTTCTGACTCTTCAGATTTCTTAAGTAGTATTTTCAACTTAGAGTAAGTTCTAAAAAATCGACTTTTGGCCGCCTAATGCCCATATCCACCAATATAGATTAACTTTAATCTCAGTTCAACTTACTTTTCTTTTACTAATTCTAAAGATTAGAAAAAGGCAAAGAGTAAGTTGAGAGAGATTAAAGCTACGTTGATGAAAATTGGCATAAATCGAACAAATATTCCACTGTGCGTTGGTGGAAAACGTTGTTCGTTGTAGTTGCCGAGAATTCGTAGCGTCACCCTTCTCAAACTTACCCCATCCGTCCTATTTTTGCGATCTTATTACGGAAATTGCGTGTCTCTCACTTGTATTCACCCTTCGTTATGTAGCTCATCTGTGTCGACGCTGGCTAAGCCAACGACTTGTCTTCCCTTTCGTTGTTCGTTGAATTCCTCTCGAGATGACGAGCGTGACGATGACATTGCATTTCGCGTGAATATCGCACGCGGAATAAATAATATGTACCCCTGCACTTTGTGAATCTCGATTGTCACAATAATGTCGACGAAAGGTAATGCAGAGTAAATCCTCGTATCGCTATAAACCAGACGAGGTTAATCTTTTTGTTTTTTGTACCATTATAGAAATTTTGAAATCTATGATATGCCACTCTCTGTTACATAATTAATTAGCAAAACAAAGACAGTGATTTACATTTTCTCCTCTTGCATTGAAAGCAAAAGAACTTCTATTAAGCAAAGTTTATTTTTGTTTTATTGTGTTCTGCTTTACATTTATTTTAAAGTAAATCATTACACAAATTAAAATAGATTAAAATATTAATAAAAAAATTGTATGTGTTTTGTTCATTTTCGTGCTTAAAATATTATTTTACCTTTCTTTAATCTGTTGAAAGAATTTAAGAAAATTATTCGATAGCCAATCAATATCTTTATCATGCGACAAAAACGTAGCAATGAAATATTAGTCTAATGCCTTTAGCACAAAAACAAACAAACGAACGCAGAGAACACACATACAAAAATAAATTTTAGTAGAGTACGGGTGCTGTTTGTTATTTTCGAATGCTGTAATTTTTTAATTTTTGTAATTATTTAAGAGAAATCCTATCTTCGATCAAAGCGGATCTTAAAGGTGGAATCATACAATGCTCGATTCCTTGAATGATAGCATACAGTTGCCTGCTCTGATGTATGCTAGAATTCGTTCATGTATTGAGCGCTACATACATACTAGGTGGGGTGAAAAGTAACCTCCCTGGGAATGAAAAAAATTTTTTTCTTATGCAGAATCTCGCCCAAAATATGGCGTGTTCGCTCAGTACTAATCTTGGTAGCATCTGCTAGCTCGCGCACCTTCACTTTCCGGTCAGCCAACACCATTTCATGTATTTTTTTGACATTTTCCTCGGTAACCGCATCGGAGGGCCTGCCGCTGCGGACTTCATCGGTAGTGGAGTTGCGTCCACCACGAAACTCTCGAAACCAATATTTGACGGTGTAATCTGACGGAGTATTAGCCACATAATATTTATCCAACTTTTCTTTTGTTTCCTTCGCCGTTTTGCCTCTCAAAAAATAATGTTTTATGAGAGAACGAAAATCGTTTTCGCAAACACGTCAACAACAATCAGCTCTCAAAACAAAACTAAGGGCAGTATCGCACTGCCACTTGGCATGTCTGCCTAAATATGAACGGACTACAAGGCACCATAAACTTTTTTGCAGTAGTGGCGCATTCTGGCGGTCAAGGAGGTTACCTTTCACCCCATCTAGTATATGCTGCATATGCATGATTTTTATATTTATTTATGGATTACTTTATAGCTTACTTCCTTGCATGCACCAATAAAAAAAAATTGCTAATTTTATAGTTATTTGTCAAACGTCAGATTGTATGCAAACTAATCATAGCGGCATGCATGTGTACATGCATGCGTGCGTGCATGCGTGCAGAGCCGGCAACTTACTTCGCTCGTAGATGTGAAATTTTTGACTAACAAAAGAAAGGAGGAGAGAGTACAAAATGACGATCTTTTTTTATTTTTTTATTTATTTTGTGCTATTTGTTGTCCCCTTTTTTACAATTGCGAATTGCGACTAATCCCTGGTTTCCATGCACGCGTTTCCATGCATTAAGGCGTAATCATACTACGGGTAGGCTCCGTTGTGGCATTACGATTACAGTTATGGATTGTTCAATCACACTACAGATTGAGTATACTGACGTGATTGATTGACTTTCATTGTCTTCTGCCTTTCTATACTAACTATAAGAATATCAACAATTATCGAAATAATTATACAAGAGCAACAACGTAGACTGATGCGTGTCTATTACTTCTTATAATAGTTAATCAGGAAAAACGTAAATTAAGACTTTCTGTCTGAATTAAGCCATATTTTTTGCGAAGGCAGTATAGTGGTATGCATCATAATTTATTTCTTGAATTGTCACTTGAAGATCCAAACCGATTTCAAAGGTAAGATACAGTTTTTATTGATTAATTAACTAATATATTAAATGATTCTAAAAGAGTAAACACAATGAGTTCAATTTTACAACAATAATACTTTATATCATATTTATAGATGCCTACGCATGGACACTGATACCTTTGAAAAACTTGTTGATAAAATTACAACCTTTAATTATCTTTTGTTCAAAAAAAGACAATACATTTGAAAAAAAGTATATCTTCTGCTGAGAGGCTTTCTATTATCTTGCGTCATCTGGCTACTGGTATGATTTATACAAGTGCAATATATAATATATATTATATATATCTTTTGAAATAATTGTTTTAATTTACAGGAGAATCACAAGAATTACTTAGCTTACAATTTAGAATTGGTCAAAGTACGATATCGACAATAATAAAAAAAGTATGTACAGCTTTGATTACTACGTTAAAAAATGAGTTTCTTCGAATGCCAACTGTAAAAGAATGAGTTGTTGTTGCTAATAACTTTGGACAGAGATGGAATTTTCATCATTGCATTGGCGCAATGGACGGAAAACATATCCGAATAGATGTCCCTTTTAAATCCGAATCAGTTTACAATTATAAAGATTTTTACAGCATACTGTTAGCTATCTTTGATGCACATTTGAGATTTGCATATACACAGTGCGACAAATATGTTCCCCGGACACGAACCACATCTCAGCAATCAGTGGCGACATCTGTGCGTTCAAACATGCATTTTAAAGGTTGAACATTTTGCTATCATCTGTCAAAGTTTCATTCATTTTGGTTGACATATAACGAAGATATGACAGTTCATGTTAAACAAGATTTTGATCGAGGTAGAAATTTTAATATGGAACAATTATTCCAGAGACATCGTTCAGCCGCAGAAAATAATCCAAACTTCCTAAAATCAATTGTTACGGGTGATGAAACATGGTGCTTTCAATATGATCCAGAAACTAAGCGTCAAAGTGCGGAATGGAAGTCAAAAAATTCACCAAGCAAAAAAAGTACGAAAAGTTCCATAAAAAATCAAGACAATGCTCATCACATTCTTTGATAGCAAAAGTATTATCCACAAAGAGTTTGTTCCAACTGGCCAAACAATTACTGGTGCATATTATCTCGAAGTTGATTGATGGGCAGAATTCATCGTATTCGCCCCGAATACGTGATCCAGAAAAATTGGTCTTTGTTGCATGATAATGCACCAAGTCACACTTCATTGATTGTCCGTCAATGTTTGGCTCGAAATCGTGTCTCTGTGTTAAACCATCCACCGTATTCACCTGATTTGGCCCCCTGCGACTTCTCATTATTCCCAAAATTGAAATTGAAATTGAAAGGACGCTTTTTTAATGACATTCCGACCATCCAATCAGCTTCTACACAGGCACTAGAGGCAATTCCGCAAACTGAGCTAGAACATGCATTTGAATCACTATTGAATCGCTGTAACAAGTGTATTGAAGAGGAGAATATTTTGAATAATAAAACCAAAAAATATGCATATTTGTTGTTTCAATTATGATTTTTCAGGCCCTGTCAGGGAACATATTTGTCGCACTGTGTATATTGATATAGGCACTAATGGGAGAATGAGTGATTCTTCTATATGGAATAAATGCAGTCTCAAATCTCACTTAAATAGCAATAATCTTTCTTTGCCTCAACTATCTCCACTACCAGGATGAAGGAAGGACAACAATTTTCCATATGTATTGGTTAGTGATGAAATTTTTCCTCTCATAACGAAATTACTTACTCCATATCCAAAAGATCAATGTCGCAATCGGTTAGACAGAAGAATTTTTAATTATCAATATAATCTACATCTATATCATATAATTTTCGAATTTAAATTATTGAATTGCATGAAAATTGACAAATCATGGATAATGTTAATCAGAGAAATTATTTGCTACATTATTTTTATAGACTATCACGTGCCAAATGTTCAGAAAATGGATTTGGTACACTAGGTGCAAGGTTTCAAATTTTTCGGTCAGCTATGAGATCCTGATAATGCAATTCGTATCACAATGACTTGCTGTTGTCTCCATATGTTGCGTCAATCTGTAGGTTGTTCCATGTATACTCCACCAAATTTTCTCTACGAAGAAGACATATTAACCGGTAACATAAGACTTGGTGATTGGAAATAGGAATTAGTCAATGGTTTAGCACAATTGTGCCATCAAGGTGGAAACCGCTATGCAACTGATGCTCGCTTACTTCGAAACAATTGGACAACATATTTTAATGGACCTGGAGCTGTGCCGTGGCAAGAGTGGGCAGTACTTGGCAATAACGCATTGCACATGTAATATAAAACAAACATAATAATTTAACAAACATAATAATAAGAAAAAAAAATTTATTCAATTTATTAAAACAAAAGAAAGAAATAAAAAAGCTATAATAATAAGGAGAAATAATTTTTTTACGTCATTTTTATTATCAATTTTTATTATCAACTCATATCTAAATCTTTTATCACATAAAGTTGACAGACTAGCAACAGAATATAGTAAACCCATTTTTTCGCTAATCTCTTCCCATTGTATTTCTTTCAGATTATTTTTACGATAATTCCTACGTGTAATATTCCATAAAATTGCTCTTTCTTTCATTAAATCTATTAGTAATTGCGGTATCACTAGACCATATGTCCATTTTGGAAGACATTAAAATAAGTAGGAATCGTTTAATTAATCACAATAAATAATTGATAAATCTGTCAAAATATATAATTCGGTAATTATTTAGAATAATTATTATAAATAATTAATTCGGTAATACGGTCGTCACCTCCGATTTTGATGAAATTAGACTTATTTGACGCGTTTTTGCACAAAACGAAAAAATCTGTAAGAAAAAAATGTTAGGACGGCCTCGCGAACAAAGATATTAAGTAAATTAAATATTGATGACTATAAAGGTTAGGAAATCCCGTCATATCGACGAGATGCAGCGACATGTAGAAAGCGGCACAACAAATTCTTGCAATGCTGTTGGCTACGGTTATAATAAGAAGATTGAAAAATAGACTCGAATCTAAATTGTAACCTGCAACCTAACCGGTGAACTGCTCTGCTCTGATTGGTTAGTTTCCAACGTTCAACTGTAATCTCAACCGCAACGGAGCCCACAACCCGTAGTGTGATTACGCCTTTATAGCGCGCGACAAACGCGCGCATTTACGCACGATCGTGTTTCCATGCACGTTTGACAGTTTCTAATTTTGTTTAAATATATGCATACATGTAAAAGGCAATAAGGAAAATATTTTTATTAAAGACATATAACAAACATTAAATATTTAAAAAAAAAATAATCTAAGCTATTAATCCCCTCCCTATCTCCCCTCCCCCATTTCTTCCCTCTCTCCTTCCCTTTCTCCCTCCCCTCTCACCCCCTTTCTCTGTTTATCTATTATTTCAAAAAATATCAAACATAATCTTTTTAAAATATTTTATGCTTTTTTAATCGGGCGCGAGTTAAAATAAATATTTATCACTTAAAAAATATAATTTATCACTTATCATAAAAAATACTATTGAAAAGATGTATAATAATATTTATTTTCTAAGATTAATTTCTGTGTCTATAATAGATGGATGATCATGAAGAAACTTTAACTATTTGTTACATAGTAGTATCGCTGTTGTGAACAAGGCTTTAGGAATGAGTATCGAGGGCGCGACGATGTACGAGAAGATGGTAACAGCAAGAGTCAATGATTTAGCATGTATGGATAAAACACTGTATTGTACAAGTTGATATTAAATATATTATATCAGTAAAGTGTGGTTTATTTGACGCGAAACACAACATTTGGCGACGAGTATTTTCGATCGTGTGAACTCACAACCAAAGGCATAACAACATGTGTTAGATTAAAAACGCTACAATACTAATCGGAAAGATAATGGAATTCAATCCAGACACCGATGATTTCGAATCTTGGGCAGGTCTCCTCACAAATCATTTATTAGCAAATGATGAAATCAAAGGAGATGCAGCTACGCATTTGAAGAAAAAGGCAATAGCAATCTTATTAGCATCAATCGGCGTGTCAACGTATGGACTTCTTCAAAGTTTAGTTTCGTCAGCCAAACCAGAGGAAAAGACATTCGCAGAGCTTATTAAAGTACTCACGGATCATTATAAGCTTGCATCAAAAGCAATTATGGAAAGATATAAGTTCTATAAACTGGTCCAACAACCAGGAGAATCAATAAATATATATTTTTCCGAGCTGCGTAAAATAAGCGTAACAAGTTCACAGATTTAAATACGTCATTAAGAGATCAACTTGTAGATATTCGTTCCTGAGACGACACAAAATATTTGTTTCTTTAGAATGACAATCTAACCTTAGATAATGCTGTCAAGATTGCCACTAGTCAGGAAGCAGCTGATAGTAGTACTCAGTTAATACGGCACAATAGTTTCACTGCCGTGAGACTATTAGTCTTATAAATTAGTCTTACAAATAAGACTAATAAGGTTAAATCGTCATCATCTAAACAGCTTCAGTATGCGAATAAAAACTGTCAAAATAAAACAAGGAAAATCAACATGTTCTGGTTGCAGAAGGAAATATATGAAGAAAGATTGCCCACACAAAAACGTTATTTGCCATCGTTGTAATAAATCCGATCATTTTACACGTCGATGTTTATCGCAGACTAAAAGTGAAAGAGGAGAAGGAAAGCATAAAATAAATCAAATTAATAATGTCAAGTAAGTATCGCATGATAATTCTATCATGATTAACGTTTGTTTAAATGGAATTTCAACGGATTTGGAATTAAATATTGCATCAGGTACTAGTTTTATCACGTTCAATGCATGGAAAAAATTGGAAAAAACTCTATCCCAAACTCCATCCGAATAACAAAAAATTTAAAAAAAACATACCTGGGCAAAAGTTTGAGTCAAGAGGAACCTCCTTTCTTTGCACCGTTGAATCAGCAGACAGTTAGTCATCAGATTCATGTTTCTGAAAGATCTTTTTGGTCGTGATTTGTTAAGGAAGATTCAAATGGATTGGACAGAAATTAAAAAACAATGTTCTCAGGTATATATCGCATCAGCAATGAATTGTCACTGAATACATTGTTAAGAATACGGAATGATGTTTTTGATCAACCGGAACTATCAAGGGTTTCAAAGCCAAGTTAGTGCTTAAGGAAGATGCCTTTCCTCGTTTCTTTAAACCATGTCTTGTTCCATTTGCATTGCAAGACAAAGTGGATAAAGAACTTGGAAAAAATGGAAAAATCCGGTATCATTAGTGTTGAAACATCGGAATGGGTTTCGCCATTGGTGGTAGTACCGAAACCCAACAGAGCGATTCCCAGGAGATTTCAAGCGTACCATAAATATAGCTACATGTTCGACAGTATCCTCTCGCAAGAATTGATGAAATATTCGAGAAAATTTCAAGTTTTTACTAGATTGGATGGTCCAGATACATTTCATCAAGTGGAAGTAGAAGAATCATGTAAGAAGTATTTAGTTATAAATATCTCATCGAGGTCTCTATAGGTATAACGTATTTCAGGGTATTGCATCTTCATCGGCAGTTTTTCAAGAGTTAATGGATCGGATGCTCAAGGGAATTCCGATGATTGGATCATTTGTGACGACACAATTTCTACCGGGAAAGACAATCATTCATTTGCAAAATCTCAAAATGATTCCAACGTATGAGAGAATGGAACTTTTATCTATCAAGAAAAAAATACGTATTTATGCAACAGTCAATCAAGTTTCTTGGACAAATTTTGTGTGGAGGACAAATTTTCTATACAGTACAGAAGGTATCTGTACTGTACTGTAATCCAGAAAAAGTAGAGTCAATTATGTCCATGAGAGAGTCCAGAGATGTAAAGGAAGTAAAATCCTTTTAGTCTTAGTAAAGTCCTTTTAAAAACTTTTGTAGCAAATTTATTAATAATTTATCACATCTCTGTGAACCACTGAACAAATTAACATGTGATGGCGTTGTTTGGAATTGGAATAATCAATATCAAGAAAATTTTAAGAGGATAAAAAAATCCGTTTGCTCCTATATTATCAGCAGAATGTTCCTGTATAGCATGTGATGCATCATCTGTCAGCATTGGGATAGTCTTATTTCATCATCACGAAGATGGAAGTGAACAACCGTTTTCCTTTGCTTCTAAAACATTATCATCTACCGAACGCAATTATTCCCAAGTGGAGAAAGAAGTATTGTATTCGGAGTAAAACGCTTTATTCAATATTTAGAGGGTGTAGAAGTATGAAACCGGAATTTCCCTATATATGGCACTAGCTATCAGTTTAAGGACCACAAGACCGCATCTGCAGCGCCATCATTTCTCTCTAACAGCTGACGAAGATTTCCAACATACAACAACCCAAGTTCCATACATCGGTATATTTTTTTCTAACCTTAAACATGTCGAGTTTTGTACCTACGAACTACGATTTGCGGACAGCATTGGTTTTCTGTTATCATTTGAAGAAAACTGCTGCAGAATCGCATCGAATGCTTGTCGAAGCTTACGGTGAACATGCTCTTGGTAAAACACAGTGGTTCAAAAAATTCAAAAGTGGTGATTTTGACGTGAGAAACGAAGAGCGTGGGAAACCACCGAAAAACAGACAACGAATTGCAAGCCTTATTGGATGAAGATGA